GCTATTTTATGACATTGATTCAAATGAAAAACTAAAAAACTTAAAATGCAAGTTTTGTACAGAGTTTAATGATACAATAAAAACTATGCCATACTATACGAATACATAGTTGGATCAGCAAACTATAGAAAATCAAATATTCTTGATCATTGTAAGTCTCAACTGCACTTAAAAGCATACCCTCTTTTCTTAAAAAATGTAATAATTTTCTAAATGCATCTAAACCTTCTTTGCCCTGTAAAAATAACGCAACAATCACTGATGGTTAAAAAAAAATGACCTTGAAAAAACCCTTAAACAATTTCAACATTCTTACTTTATAGCGAAACAATAATTACCTCTTTCAAAGTTTGTTCCAACTGTTAAACTAGTTGAGCTTTTCGGTGTGAATATGGGCGAATCCTATATTTCAGATCGCCAATGCGTTGTATTTATTGACTATATTGCAGGAAGTCTGCAAAATTCGTTACACGATAGTCTTAGAAATGCTAAATTTTATAGTGTATTGTGTGATGGTTCAACAGACAGTTCACTAATTGAAAATGAAGTGGTGTATGCATTATATTTTGATCCACAGCCAGTTGGTTCAGATGCAGTTGAAATCAGGACTTTGTTTTTAGATATAAAATATTTGGAATATGGAAATGCCTAAGGTGTTGTAAAGGTTTTAGAAGAATGATTTGTAAATTTGCTAATACCTATTAAATGCATTGGTTTACTTCAGATAGGGCTGCACTAAATAGAGGCAATCAAAGTAGCGTGAAAACCATTCTATGCGAAAGAAGTCTGTCACTTGTGTTTGTTTGGTGTGTTGCACACCAAACAATAGAATTAGCAATTGCAGATGCTTTAAAAGATACAGAATTGGATCTTGTAGATGAAATTATATTATGAAGTTATTGTCTGTACCAAAAAGCACCAAAAAAGTTCCGACAGCTTCGCGAGTTATATTATATAACTCGCAAAGCTGTCGGAGCTTTTTTGGTGCTATTTGGTATAACTTATATACTGTTTTGAAAGACGGGATGGATACGCTTGATGAAAGTTGCAAGCCTAAAAAAATTTGGAATACAATGGATTTCTTATAAAGTTAATGCCGTGAAGTCTTTTCTTGACAAATGGGGTTTATACATTACCCATCTTGAACAATTAGCTGAAGAACCATCGACTTTAGCTCCTGACAAAGCTAAAGTGAAAGGGTATCTCCTAAAATGGAAAAAAGGAAAAATACCACTTCTATTTGCATTTTTTATTGATTTACTCGAAATTCCCTTGAATTCTTTCAAAGTTTTTTCAGGATGATTAAGTTGTCAAGTTCAAGTAATGAACTGTAACAAAAGCAAAGGAAAGATGGGAATTATTTGAGAAAAAAAGTTTTGAAAATTTGCCTAGAGTTAAAGATTTTCTTTCACAAATCAAAAAAAAAAAAAAAAAAAACGGCTAACATTATTATCATGACATTGAACTTAAAGACTTTGAGCGTGAGTTTAAAATTTTCAAAACAAAAACTGTGGAGTATTTAACAGTAGCCAGGGACTGCATTATACAACGTGTAGAAAACGAAAAAGAAAGTACTCTTATTTTAAAGTATGCATCTTAAGTATTAAATTAAAACGGTTGGCTTTGGGAGGTTATAGCAGGCCTTGTTAAGAATCGTTACGCAGCTCGCATTTTACCTGCGAAAAGGCGATTTGCCTACGCGTTCAGCAGTTTTGCGTTACGCAAAAACTTTAATCTTTTAGAATATTTAAATTATCATTTGATATCGTTTATGTGACGTTTATTCAGAGGAAAATCGTAAAAGAAAAGTCGTAAGTAAAAGCATTTGTTAACTAACCGCAATTGTTAACTAATAGATTTTTTGTTAAAGAAAAAATTTTTTAATTATTTTTATTGTTGTTGTTGTTAAAAATTAGTTTAAAAAAAATAAGTGTTTTAAGTTTAAACTTTTTATCATATTTAATATTAAGTTTTATATTTCATAAGTTTAAAAACATTCAAATTGAAAAACAAAAAAAAAAAAAATTTCAATTTATTTTATTAAATTTAAATATTTTTTTATTAATCATAGTTTTTAGCAAATAAATTTATTAAATTTAATTAAAATTCTTTTACTTAATTTTAAAACAGAGCATTTTAAAATTTTTTAATTTTAAAATGCTCCGTTTTACAATTTTTTTTATGATAAAATTTCCAAAGTAAAAAAAGATTTAATAAAATTACTTTAAAATGTTCGTATTACATATAACTTTATTTTAATTTCAGTTAAGTTTCAGGTAAGTTCCAGTTTAAAATTCTGGTCTGAATAATGCGCTGAACAAAAGCGCATTAATTTCCAGTTTTTATATTTTCATTATTTTACAGTTTCATTCATTATTTACAGAAGCGCATTATTTATTTTATAACTACAAGTTAATAAATAACATCAATATAAAAAAGTTCTTTTTAACTCGAGTTATGAATGTTATGCTTGGGTTTTCCCTTAGCCGTTTGCCAAAGAATTTTTTTTATAAAACAAACCAAAATTCAAACCTATTAAAAATAACGCGATCAGTAAATAAACTCTTTAAAAGCCGAACTTATATTTATTTTATTTTAAAAACAATACTAGTACTAGAGCTATAAATATAAGATAAATAAATTTCAAAATTATAATGATATTTGTTAAAAACAAATTCAGCTTATAATATCTTAAAACCGAAAACACTATTTTTTTTTTTGGATTGAGTAAAAAAAATAGTAAAAATACATTAGTACATAAAATACACTGTACTTAAAAATAAAATATCTTAATGGAAGTAAAAAAAAAATAAAGCTGAAAAGCAGTAAATTTCGTTTCTTTACAATATTTATTTTATCAAAACCAGTTAGTTGCAAACGTTTTTTTAAAAAGGGGAAAACCCAATCTATGCGTTAAGTAAGTACATTTGAATCCCTTTAAGAAAATCAACCATAAACAAGTGTTAAATTTAAATTATTAAAAAAATATATATATTTAAAAAAAAACAACCATAAAACAAATGTTTGATAGCAAAAAAATTAAGTTTAAATAAATATAAGATTTTAATACAAGAAGACTTTTTTTTAATCAACATTAAAACTTTTACTAGTTTTTTTTTTATAACAATATTGTTCAATTTAAAGCTATTTCGTTTCAAAGACTAACAATAGTTTTTAATGTCATTTTAAATTTAATTACAATGAAGTAAAAACACAACTGACGTAATTTAACTTTTAACAATGTAAATATCTTTATTGAGTAAAGTTACATTTATTCACGTTTCGCTTTTCCGTTACGCAGCGAAATCTCGTAACAAGGCTGAAAGCGGAATCATAATGCGAAATTTAGATTTTGCCCATGAAGCTTTAAAATATACATGGAAACATTTTCAAGAGCCGTTATGCTCTGCTGCTGTTGTTTTTCCAGACATCTTAACTTAATGGAAAGAAATGCTAAGTTATGCTTAAGAGTTTTTATCCCCAGTTAAAACGCAATACTAAATTACATGGCGACGCATATTTGTATCACCTAGAAGTAAATCATGGACCTCTATTTTAACAGTTGTTGAGCTATTGCTTACTTTGCATGGAATATTTGACATTCAATAAAATGTTAAATTCATTTTAATTACAAAAAGGAATGAAATTCAAGTTATCAAACAGAAAATAAATAATTGTGCTGAGTTTTGGTTGAAATATATACTACAAATATACTTGTATATTTTTAAAAATTTCTTACCAGTCTATATAAAACTTTTATTTTTATAATAGCTTTTTTAACCTCATATACAGATGTCTGTTACTAGGAAAAAATAATCTTGAATTTCAAAATAGAAGGACCTGAAAGTATATGATAAACATTTTTTTTTTTTTTGTTACTTCACCTCCCCAAGGCAGAGAAGACCACTACAGTCGAGGAGGGTACTTAATTGTGGTTATAACTCTCTTTCAACTTTATAACTCTAAACAATAACTGTCTGCTTAAGCCACAAAACTAAATAGAGTTACATGCTGCAGAACAAAATCTTGATTGTCAAAGTATGAAACTACATATAGCATAGCATTTGTGCTTAAGCATTTGATGAATCTTGCAACAAGCATAATGTGCACATATTTGAAAACTGTTTGTGATTACAGATGGTTCAACTGTTGTCAAGCATTCTGAACAGTCAGGAGAAAGCAGGAAAAAAATTCATCAAAGCTTTTTTTTTGTCATTCACCTTGTTTTTCAACATGATATTATATATATATATATATATATATATATATATATATATATATATATATATATATATATATGTACATATATATGCATATATATATGTATATGTACATATATATAAAAAATATATATATATATATATATATATATATATATATATATATATATATATATATATATATATATATATATATATATATATATACATATATATTTGTGTGTGTGCGTGTAAAATAAATACATATACAATAGTGTATGTATAAACATAAATACAATAGTGTGTGTGCATTTGTATGCATTTATGTGTGTGTGGATATATATAAATATATATATTTTAGTAAGAGAAAGAGTGTTTGAGAGAAAGAAAAAAAGAAAAACTGAAAGAGATGTTTGTGTACATATATATATATATATATATATATATATATATATATATATATATATATATATATATATATATATATATATATATATATATATATATATATATATATATATATATATATATATATATATATATATATGTACACAAACATCTCTTTCAGTTTTTCTTATATATATATATATATATATATATATATATATATATATATATATATATATATATATATATATATATATATATATATATATATATATATATATATATATATATATAACAAGTGGATGATATTTAAAATGCTTAAATAACTGTATCAAGTATGTCTTAGTAGAAACTAAGATTCTTTTAAATAATTATTCTTGAATAATAGTAATTGGTTTCCTGACGGAGACAAACCTTTTTTTGTTGCATTTCCCATGCTGGATCAAGCAACCCTCTGTCTTCTTCTTCCTGATGGTATCCATAATGTTCTTCTTCAGCCATATTTAATACTAATTTATAAGAAAAATTTTTTAGAATAAGTAAATCAAAGAACTTTCGTGTAATTCGCCTTTAACAACTTTAAGGCTGGGCAATTTAACTGTTGTGCTTGCGCAAACGTTCGGCGCAGCCCACTTGATCACGTGTCTTAATAGATTATTTTGAGTATGGCGGCCTAATAGTTTAACGAGAAAACTTTTTATAACTAAACAAAAAGAAAAAAAGCATAATGCGCGCATGTATGTCTTAAAGCTACATGCAAACTTTACTTGTATTTTAATATGAAAAACATCTAACAATTGAAATAAAAAATAAAATAAGTTTTGATCACGCTAAGATATTGAAAGCAGCGTTTTTAAAAAAAAGTAATATGCAATCTCGCAATTAGCACTAACACCGGATTTTTACAAATTCCTATTTGTTGTTGCTTAAAATGTTGAATTTTAAAAACCTATTTTGCAGAAATAATTGCATTTAGTTGTTGCATTTGTGTTAAGCAAAAAAGAAAGCTGTTGTCATAATCCCAAATCAAACACGGAAAAGCAAAAGCTTTTACGATTGCTTATTTAACCTTCAAACTTGGCCAATCACGATTGTTTTTTGTTTATGAATAAAATTATTACAAATTCAATGAAATAGTTTATTAAAGGATCTGTAAATTCAAACAAAAAGTACTAAAATTAGCAAATATTAAAAATAGTGTAGCGTGAAAAATTACAATACTTGTATTCACACTTTTAAGTAATTAGCTGAATAAACAACATGCTTTAAATAATTAGTATAACGATCAACGTGGCTTTCTAATGAAAAATTGATAACAACTTAAAACTTTTACTTTTTCTTTCCAAATCATCGGTATTTTATTATTTAAATTTTTATAGGAAAATTCAAGTTGTATTGCAATTATTAATATTTAGTATACTGATAACAAACTCGTTTTAACACGTCATATACTTATTATTTTTTCATTACGTTTAACACGTCATTATTTGTTAAGCGTCATTTATTTAAAAAAATTTTAGTGTTAAAAAAGCATTAAATCAGTATGACAAGGTTGTTTTATACTATATATATATATATATATATATATATATATATATATATATATATATATATATATATATATATATATATATATATATATATATATATATATATATATATATATATATATATATAACGTGCTATAAACAAAGACGATTCTACGATTAAAATGAGAGGGGGGGGGGGAACCATAAAAAGTAACGATTTGCTTTTTTTTTTTTTAAAAAATAGTCCTCAAAACTAAAATTTACCTTACTGATTTGTGTCAAATACCCGACTAGTCAACTAAATTTGTAAAAACACCCGACAATAACTTGAAAATCACCTTGCTTCGGGTGTGGAAAATCGTCTCTGGGTATAAATTTACAGCATAAAAATAGTTCTACAATATCTCTGAATAAAAAGTCGTATATCTCAAACCGTACATTTTTCACTGGTTTGGAATAATTAAAGATAAGGTAACGCATGCAGTTATCGCATGTCCGTACTGTAGAGGTTGTGTTTTTTAAAATAAATTCTTTTTGTTTAACGCAAGTTTATAAAAAACAATTGAGCAAAAATTTTATTTGCTATTCGAAAATGCTTTTTTTTTTTTTCAAAAACAACCCCTTCTCCTCTAAAAATTTTCACGGTACGGGCCTGTATCGACATTTATTGATAACTATATTTTTTATTAATCAGCCTTGAAACAACGATATTAATTGGAAAGATATAAACGTTAAAAAGTCCAGTTAAAAAAGACAAGGGGAGGGGGAAGGTTGTCCTAAAAGGACGTCACTTTATAGATTTTTTATTTTAGTTTAATTAACATGGAAAACTACGTAAACATGTGTTTTTGAGAAGACAATATATGAGAATATTTTTAATTTTATTTTTCAAAGGTGTAGCAGCAGATTCAAACATATTTGCAAAATGAAATAAATTTTTTTGGCGTTAAAAATAGGGAGGGGGTCAGGATTTTATGACGTCCTTTTCCAGGGGGTATAAGGAAAAAAGAAAACCGGTCACTAAGGATGGGGGGGGGGCTAAATATGGTGACGTCCTTTATGGATGGCCCCTTAACACTAAAAATATATGTGTACACATTTATCCCTAAGTTTCTTTAAGAAAAAAATGTGTACACATTATTTTGAGAGACTTTCTAAACAAGCAGCTTAATCCCAGAAAAAAAGTGTTTAAAAACATGTTTATGATTTGCGGATGAATGTCACAGTTACTAGGTGGATTTTCATTTTTAATGCTTTCTAGAAGAAGCTTAAAATATAAAATCATTTATTTTCTTCAATTGCTTTTTGCGCATAGAATTTTCTGAAGTTGTTCTTGTTATACAAATTTTTGAACAAATTCTAAATTTTTCAAAACAATTTCACACATTTCCTTTAAATTATGTCGTTATGGTTTAACTTAGCTTAATAATTTAAAATACAATCGTTCCATGCTTTTTTAAGTAATGTTTTAAATTTGTAAGAAAAAGCTTGACGCATTACACGTTTTTATAAGAAACTAGTACCAGAAACTCCAAAATCTGAAGAAACTTTTGGAGCTAAATTACTTTTACAATAAGAAACTTACGTCATTCAAAGTTCGAGTAATATTTCCTAATTTTTCACCTACATATTGCATCAACATAACACGAAGTTAAAAAGTATCTACAGCGGAGAGCAACAGTTTAAATGAATGTTTTATTTAAACTGTTGGCGCAAACGAATGGAATCTCATTCGATTGGGCATGGGTGCGATGGAATTCCATTCGGTTGTGAAAGAAATATCTATATTATCTTACCTAACTAATATTATATTACCTTAAGTAAATGCTTTGACCTACTTTTAATATTAGATAGAACCCTTTAAATACGAAACTTTTTATTACTATCCCATTGGCATAGTTACTTATAAATAAACAACGTGTACATGCTTTATTTTATATTCAAAAAGCAATGTAACAAAAAAAAAAAAGGTTTTATAAACGCATTAAACAAACACAATTTATGCAAACACTAAGTATACAAGTATCAAACACTAAGTATACCCCAAAACTGTTACAAATACTTTATAGATTGACTTAATTGTTAAATAGGTAACGTTTTTCGGCAGGTTTCTGGTAGCTATATAAGCTCGTCCAAAAAATTCCGGGGATGATAGTTAAGGCGGATTTCCACTTACAGGAAATTTTCCGCGGGACGGAAAGGAAAATCATCTAATCATGTAACAAAAAAGTTTTTGCTGCCTAATCATTATGTTACATGATTGAATTGTTTTCTTTTTCTTTTCGTTCCGCGGAAAATTTCCTGTAAGTGGAAATCCTCCTTTATCTTATAAGCTAATCTTATCCTAAAAAATCTACTTTTCTTATTATTAATAAATTTTTGCATTTACTATTAAAACGGGAACGCATTAAAAATAGTTTTCTAATCAAATTACTGAAAAAATCATATACGGAATATAAATCGACTGATTACTGCAAAACAAGATAGCGTCGCCTGATCTTTAGTTAATCCATGCGTCGCGAGTTTAAATTGTTTTAAAGACGCACGGCTCAGAAAGCTCAAAATATTGGAAATATACAAATTAAAAATATTTTAAAGATGATTAAAAAATAAACAAAAGAAATATTTTATAGAATGATCGTAATAACAAAATTTCGTAATAGTAACGTAATAGCATTAATCGGCAAATTTCTTTTACTTAGTTGCAAAATAAATTAATTCCATATTTTAATTAAAAATTTTTTTTTAATGAAATTATTACTATCAAATAAATAAATAATTTAAAAAATAGCAATAAATTATTGATATATTATTAACAAAAATAAAACTATTTTTTTAATACTTTTTTTTTTAAATATCTTATTTGTTGCTTAATAGATGCTTATTATTAATGAGTCATTAAAGAATTCATTAAACGTCATTTCGTTTTTCATAATCTCATTCATGATAATTCAATCTTTGTTAATGATAAATTTGCAATATGCATTTACGTGCCACTTCTAAGTAACGAAGATACACGGCGTCAAATCTTCGCATTGATGATCTGAAATAAAAAATATTTAGTCGATTTGATAAAAAGGTCACAGATAAATAAAAACTTAAACAAAAGCGTTTATATTTAAAATTTTGTCATTTTAAAACAACTTTCAATGTTTAAGTATGTTCACTATATCGTCGTATCTCAAACGACATAAAAAAAGGGTGGGCTTCTTGAGGAAAAATATTTAGTTACTACTAGATCTGAATTGATGAAAGAAAAACCTACAAAATAACATCTTGATATCTTCATAAATAGCGGATTAGATGAGTTTTAAGCAAAATTTTGGATGAAACATTATGGAATATGTTTCTGAGAAAAACGCAAAAGAAAGTTCATTAATTTTAAAACTTGAAAAAAATTGTTAGTCTTGTAAGCAAGTGGTAATATTTTTTTCACAAAACATATCTACTGTGTTTTGACAAAAAGATTAATAATAATTGGTATTAATATTATTATTACTGACAAAATAAATTGCTAATGTTCTAAAAAAAAATTTATTTGAAAAACTGAAGTACAATCGTGTGCAGTAAAATAGTAGTGCGCATTTTATTTTTCTATCAACAAACTTTGAACATCAAAATATATTTTTCTATTGTTTGTTTTGTATCGTTATTGTTCATAAACTAAATGTTATGATTATAATAGTATAAAAAAAAATTTAAGAAAGATAATTGCAGCACTGTATGGTTTTAAATTTCAATATTATCGATTGAAGGTCATTCGTATTTTTTTTTAGACTGTGCAATAAAATAGTAGTGAAAAATTAACATGGAGGTTCAAAAATAATGATATGGGGTTGTTTTTCTTACTATGGTCTTGGGCCGATACATGGCATAGAAGGTATCATGGATAAATTTGTATATGTAAAAATACTTGAAGAGATTGTGCTGCCTAATGCTGAAGAAGAAATACCGTTAAAATTTTTGTTCCAGAAGGATAATGATCCCAAACATACGAGCAAGTTAGCCAAATCGTGGTTTAATAAGAACAAAATTGATGTGATGGAGTGGCCAGCACAATCCCCCAACTTTAATCCGATTGAAAACTTGTGAATTGATGTTAAACAAGCAGCTTCTGAAAATAATCCAAGAGATTGTAATCAATTGTGGGACGTAGTTCAGTCAGCATGGCAAAATATATCTGTCGAACGATGTCAAAATCTTATTAATTCCATGCAACGAAGATGCTTGGCGGTTATTACAAATAAAGGTCATGCCAAAAAATACTAATGTAGAGCTTCAAAAAAAAATTTTTTTTTGTAATAAAATTTAATTATTTTTTAACTTTTTCATAAAAAATGATTTTCAATACTATTTTATTGCACAGTCTAAAAAAAAAATACGAATGACCTTCAATCGATAATATTGAAATTTAAAACCATACAATGCTGCAATTATCTTTCTTAAATTTTTTTTATACTATTATAATCATAACATTTAGTTTATGAACAATAACGATAAAAAACAAATAGAAAAATATATTTTGATGTTCAAAGTTTGTTGATAGAAAAATAAAATACGCACTACTATCTTACTGCACGCGACTGTAGGAGATTTGTAGGAGATTATTTGCTATTTTGAGCTGTGATATTCATTGAACTCAAAATTTTGAATTTTTGGTTTAATTAAAATTAAAACTTTTAATTTTTTCTGTTTTGTTTATTAAATTTAGCGTTGCGTAATTTATGGATGATCCCTAAGCGTTATACCTGCATTTTATTAAAAATCATGGATATTTTATCGAAACTTAGCAAGTATCTTTACAACCAAAAGTCTAAAAGATTGAAAAATAACAACTGTTTAACATAGGAGGTCAAAAAATTTGGAATTTTTGGACCTCTTATGTTAAACAGTTGTTATTTTTCAATCTTTTAGACTTTTGGTTGTAAAAATACTTGCTAAGTTTCGATAAAATATGCATAATTGTTATGAAGACTTATTCAGTACGAGGATTTAAAACCTTTTCCGTAGAAAAACTCTTTTTTTAGAAAAACTCCTTTTATTACACATAAACTCCTTTTATTACACATAAACTCGAAAAACAAAAAAATCTTATTTATAAGGTAATTGTTGATCCAAAAATAAGTTTTTTTTTGAATTTTAACGAGGTCTTAACTGCTCGTTATTTCCAAGTTTTCGAAGACTTGGTATCTTTTCGCACAAAGTGCCTCAATTTAAAGTTTGTTAAGACTTGTTAATTGTTGTAAATAGTTTAAAATTGTTATTATAGTTTTAAAATTAAATAATAATATAAATAATAGCTATGTGTTAATTAACTAAAATTATTCAAACCAATGTTTGAAAACAAAATTAGAACTAATATCTTAACTACGGTTTTAACAGTGTTGCCAAGTGCTATTTTAAAATTCGAGACCCAATAACTGTTGCTAGATTTTTAAATCTTGAACACGCATGCAAAAAAAAAAAAAAAAAAAAAAAAAAAAAAAAAAAAAATGGCAATAATTGCAAAAAAAGTTGGCAATAATTGCATTTACTCTAAATTAAAAAATTTACTAAGCGCCACAAATTTGTAAAAAAAAAGTAAAAAATAATTTTTTTATAATTATAGAAACTAATCAGCAATAAGTGTAGATGCCAAAAATATTATTTATACTATTTTTATAATTTGGCAGCGATGTTTTTTTTTTTTTTTTTTTAAAATTTTATTACATACCTTTCTAAGATTATGAAAAAAAATTTAACTTTTTAATTTATTTTCTATAAAAGAATAAAAATTAGTCAGGCAAAAAAGATTTATTTATTTGTTTTAATGCATACATATAAAGATAAAAATGATATAAAAAAAGCGATTAAAATCGATGGGAAATGTTCAAATTTAAAAGAAATAAAATATAATAAATTAGCATTTAAATAAAGTTTAAAATGTCATCTTAAATAAAATAAATTAAAAAAATGTAAAATAAAAATTTAATTCAAGTCATCAAAATCGTATAGGGCCTTAATAAATAGAGCTCGAGTAAAAGACCGAATGCGGAAGTATGGAAATTTTCAACGTCGTAAATTTTCGTACTTGACCAATCCGTAAACATTAAAAAAAAAGCAATACTTTTATATACTTTTTAATTAAAAATTTTAATTTCCACTTTAATTATGTTTCAAATAAACCAACAACTATTTTACATGTTTTTGTTTAAGGTAAAACATGAAAAGATTTTCATGATAAGATTTTCAAGATGTTTGAAACATTACATGCTGTCTTCATACTTAATACCTGTCTTCAGACCAAACATCATGTATATTTGCTGTCAACATGCATGTATGTTTGGTCTGATTGTGTCGCTGAATAGGTAACGCAAAACGAACTCACCGTAAATAAATACAAATACGATCTAATGTTTTTTGTACCCTTGAAACATCTCCTAGACCGGTGTTGAAGGTTTTTCTAAACATGATTACATCAAGTATTTATACTATTTTTTTTTGAGTAACATAAATCAATGTTAATGTGTCAAATATCTAACAAGTATAGTATTAAGTAATAAATATTTATAAAGAATATTGTGTACAGGTGTTAGTAACTCGTAAGAAATCGCTGCAATTCCACGTAACTAACTAACTAAGAAATCGCTGCATTTCCACGTAACACAAGGCAGGTTTGTAATTGCTTAAAACAACAGCGTAACAAAAATAGATTATCATGATGCTCTGTACAACCTTCATGAACTCGCCATTGACTTTAATTTCGTTCTAAATATCGTTTTTTTCCTGGACATGTTTTCTAGAAGCTATAACAAATCAGTCAGAGTCGTTTTATAACGTTTTAAAGCAACTGCAAGACTGGAAGGAGGCTCCGATAGATTCAATGGTTATGAGTTTATTCTGTTTCACTCAGTTTCGCCTTGCTAAAATTTAACAAGATCGTAATGGACCAAGTAATTACGTTTTACGTTGACGAATTATGAGTCGTTACACTTAAAGATTTCTTAAAGTCGTTACACTTTTTTAAAGATTTCTACCCTGCCCATGTAAAATGCTATCATAACAGTACGGCTTGGAATAGGCAATTACAGGACTGTCATAATATGATAATGAACAGTGCCCGAACGCAGTCGGAACATGACGCAACTATCGTAACAACTGAAAACTTCAGGATAAAACTACTGGTTGAAAACATTCTAGGGCAGAAGGCATTGGCACCACAGCGGCAGTAGTTATCGATCAAGTATGAAAAAAAGCCTCTAAAAAGAGTAAGAAAAGTAAGCAATATAATGAGGAAGATGTAAATGATGACCTTTGTCAGGAAACAATCCCACCAAGTAAAAATAGATGCGATGAATGCCCAAAACGCTACATAATACGCGTTTGTTGGTCTCAATAAAATTCCCAAAAAATGAAAGTGATTTGCGCTTACAGAAAAGTGAAATAAATAAAATTATATACGCATTTTACCCGTATTTTCGTTTAAATTCTCCACATTTTAAATGTTTAAAATATTCGCATTTTACCAGTATCTCAATGAATAGAAAAAGAAAAACAAATAAAAACAAAGGAGAGCGAAAAAAGCCAATAATAACATGAACAGAACGCCAAAAAGCAACTTTTAAAGTGATAAAAAACTTTTTTTAACAAATAAAAAAATTTTGGTAAAAATATTTAACATTATAATTTTTATGGATGCATCACAAGATTTTAAATTTCCTAACAGTTTGCCATCGGGCAATGACGCCTTTAGTCGTTGATTCAATTGTTAGACGAGTTCTCGACAAACCATCTAAAATGTACAACCCAATAAATTAGGCATCAGGTTTTTACCTTAAGATTAGCGCATTTGAAATGATAAAATCTCTTTAGTCATAATCGATAAGTTTTAGGTTTCAAACTTATCGATTATGACCAATGATGTAAATAACTAGATATGTTTTTAGTGAAGCCAATTTAATGCGTTGAAAGCCATTATTATATCGGGCAAAAAGCTTTTAGCGATCACATTCATATAAAAAGATATTGGCAATTTTAACGTCCTTATTCTTGGAATTAAAGATG